CGAAAGAAATCGTTTTAACTTATCTATTCATCTACACATAACCATCAAATGTAACTGCTTTTGACAGCAATATTGTCTATTACAAAATTTTTATATGTCGCAATAGCAAAAAATAGGAGCGCAAGCTAGAGCAAATGTTTATAACAAAAGAGATGACATTAGGGTTAAGAAAATAGAAAAATTTTCGTTTGACCTTTATGTCTATAGTTAAATGTGTCATAAATAGTAAAGAAGAGGTTTTATGCATTTATGCGCAAAAATTTTTATAAAAAAAAAAAAAAAAAAAAAAAAAAAAATCTTATATAGTTTGCTTTTGGCGAACAACTAAAACTATTCAAAGTTTATGTCAATTCTGGGTTAAATGATTTTTACAGACATCGTTAAATGATTTTTGAAGCGAATAAAAGTCATCAGTGTACAATCTATAATAGTTGTATAGGTAGAGAGTCCTAGTTAAAGTTATCTGCTAACTGCATACATTTTTGACCCAAAAATTGATTTCCCTTAAATCGTTATATTTTTGTACTGGATTTCAGGATTGTGCAAGAAATGCTTAATTGTTAGCAATTGCTTGTTGAACATGTAAGGTCATGTATGCTGGGAATGCTTTCATTGATTTCGTCGAATTGTTTCACTGCATTTAATCCATTAAATGCTTAATTTCGATTTATAAACGCGTTTTTTTTTTTTTTTTTTTTTTTTTTTTTTTGTTTTTCTTTTTACTTATAAGCGATAAACTTTTTATAAAGTAAAACATTGATTTTCTGCTTGATTTCAGCTAGAGTTACGTAAATACCCGAAATCATCCTCAGTGTTAACGCACTGAAGTTTGATTTACATAAGCAATGCATTTGAATGAAACGTTTATTCAAAATATTTCGATTTTTGATTTTAAGATAAACGAGAAGTTATTGACTCAAATAAAAGCTGAAAACAATTTTCCAACTCAAATACTTACAATGATATCAATGAATTCAAAGAAATTATGATTTTCGCACTCTCGTTGACTCTAATAATGTAAAAATAAAATTTACGCATCGACTTTTCATGTTTTAGTCAATATCCCAAGTAAATTAACTGTCACAGCACGGATTATATATTATCTGATGATTATATGTTCTCGTGAATTCTAATAGATGGGCTTCACGTATCTACGAGCTACGAGGTACGAGGTACGAGGTACAAGCTACGAGCTACGAGCTAATCCTTCGAATACCTCATTGGAAATGAACTAAAACTAAATAATCGCAATTAATTTTCAATTCGAATTTTATATAGCAGGCGGTTGCTTAACGACGCCTATAATGGCTGTGCCAACTTGAAAAGTAGTCATCGGTTATTTACGCATACTTTTTAATTGACCAAGTTTGTCTAGTTCTACTTTCAAGTGCACCATCGAAATTGCTGTGAAATGGATGAAAAGCATATCTGTTACATTTGCACTACACTCAAACAATTTTTTGTCCAATTAACATATTTTGTGTCAGGACTGGTTCGTGAATATGCATACATATCCATGCTCTCGATGAGGTTGAGTCGTTACTCACGTATTTTTCATTCTCACTTAATTCTTAAGAATCTTCAGAGCAGTCACCCGCCTACCTATATAGTATATCTATTATATATATATAAATTATATCGGCGATTCAGAATATCACTCAGAGCTTTTTAAGAAAATTGTATAAGCAATCATTCAGACATAATAATGATTTATGATTATTTTAATAGAAAATATTTGAATTTGTTTTTGTTATCACTTCTGTTTGTTTTGCGTTTGTATTCTATTCTATTTGTTGCAAAAGCAAATTGTGTAACTTGAATTTTCCTTTGTTAAGGGAAATTGAAATAAAAAAAAAAAAAAAGAAAGGATTAAAAGTATTCTGAAGCACACAAATCTTGGTTCGTTGACCAGCTTTAGAAAACCATTCAACTGCGAAGGGTATTAAATAGTCGCACATTGTTATTACCTTTATACTTTCTTTATAATCATTATTAACAGTGTCTCTGAATAGCTTTTGTAACTAACTCTTTTTGTTTTTCTTGCCTTCCTCTTTTTTCTTTTTTTTTTTCTGTTAAACTTATAATTGTTTCTGTTCTTGTTGTTATTGCAATACATGTAGTATGCAGAGAATACAAAATTATTATTATTATTTTTTTTTTTAAAGCTACAGCTCTCCTGTTTCTGAATACAAATCTTGCTATTATTGTTTTTCTATTCGTAATATTCATATAAGTTGCGGGTGACAGTTAACCACCCGCCATCGCCATTCTCAATAATTGTGTATCGACGTTGTCTGGCCTGGTTTTTTTTGTTTTTTTCTCTTCTTCGTTTCTGTGCAGCGTGCTTCATTTATATTTAATTAAAAAATCAATACTTGACATATTGTTATTCGTTTTATATACATACATATATATATATATATATATATATATATATATATATATAGTAAGTCTTATAATTTTTAGTTTCTTCTTTTTCAAAATATTTGCTATTGCTCTTGTTACATCGTTTTGTATGTATCTGCATACATATCAGATCGGTCTATCCAACTAAGGGATATGCTATTGTCACGATGGCCAGCAATACACTTGCTATTAAATATCCAATACCATCTCGCTTATAGTAGTAATAATAATAATAATAATAATAATAATAATAAAAACGATATCAATCACTTTTCATTTCTATTTTCCCATATTTATTCATTTGCATTGATTTTTTTAAATATTAATGGTTAAATTTCGTCATTTACTGTGACGCCTACTAGGCTTGTTTGTCGAAAACATTTCCATTAATTTATGTAAAGCGAAAATGTTTTGATGTCTTTTGATTTCCTTTCATTTATTTTATCTTGGTTTACGATGTTGTTCAGCCGTTCGTTCATGATTTTTGGTAGAGCTACCAATAGTATGCGCCGCTCATAATTCTTATAAAACCGTTTGACTTTGTAAGCACGATAGGTTTGTCTCCTTATGTTGTGGACATGGTCTATCTCTCCCAAGAATCTTTCCTTTTTATCTGAATTCGTTGATCATTGTAGCGTAAAAAAATTCCTTTTAAGTTTAGAACATTAAGCCGTTATGATAAACTAGCGTCTTTGTGTCCTTCCTCTCGAGGATTGCCCAGCATCATGCTTTTCATAAAATAGTATCGAAATTGATGCATAATTTTTGCCGCATGCTGTGATACCATGTCATCGTAGACTTGATTCTGCGAGAGACAGTTGCCTTAACACTGCCTGATTTCAATCTTATTTTAATCTATGTAGGATCAAGGCTACAGTGTTCAATATAATAATTCTATTCGAAATTGTGGTCTACGTATACACCTAAGAATTTGTGTGTATCGACAATGTCTACAGTTTCATAGTTAGATGTGACAAAAGGATTTTTGCGAGGGTGCAGTTGTCCGTGTGATGTCTGTTCACGTATATGTGTCTTCAAGTTCCAGGTTACATTTTTTAGAGACATTTTGCTGAAATTTGGCAAACTAACTTGTTTTGACCGAAGGACGCACGCTATTGAAAATGGTTCAGATCGGTTCACTTTTTAAACCACTCCCCATATAATGTTCAATTTTGAAAAGTTGTTTTATGAAAAGAAATGTAGAATTTTCAAAATTTCCCAAGAAAAGCGGTTAAGTAATAGTATTTCGTCGTTCGAAATTGATATAAAAACTTTAGACTGGCTCAGGCAATTTTTTGAACTCCCCTCTCATATAACGAAACTTGATGTTCGTAGGGCAAAAAAAAGTCTAATTTTCAATATTTTATGATGAAAATTAGATTATCGTAGTAATTTAAGATATAAATTAATTGTACCAAATTTGGAATATCCATGCCTATTTTTTGGACCCTGTTCTATATAACGAGTTTTGCGAAAATTGACTCTTTATAGAGTCTTCATATCTAAACTGAGGCGGCTTAATGTGCATTAATTTGCATTTCTCTGCATTGGTTACGAGTTCTTTATCGTGATCCCAGTTGATCGTTATATTAATATTTAATTGGGCTTATATAACATAATATAAGCAGCTTAAAAATCATTTCCATATGGAATGTACGCAATTAGACCTAGCTTCGACTTCTGAGGCACATCACATCAATATGGAAGCAATATACGGATTAAGATAACTTTCTAACCATTACGAAGATTTTTTTACATCTCTTAGGTCTCGAGTAGTTTGATATCCGAGAGCGCGTCTAAAATCATTTTCAAATTTATAAACACTACTAAACAGATTTTGCCTGAGTAGTTAGTCGTTTATTATCTCGTAATTAACATTATTTATTATAATTATTAATTAATTATTAATTCATTATATATTATTAATTATAATTATACCTATTAATTTTTCATTAATTATAATTAATAATTAATTAATTATTATTATTAATTATTAATTAAATTTACCCCTTTGACCACTCTGAAAATCAATTTGACATTCGTTTACAATTGTTTATGAAGCAAGTGGTCTTTTCTGCCGTTGCGTCTTCCATAATTTCAATCACGTACGAGATCTATGTTTTTATAATCCATATATTTACAAATATATTTATAAATGTAAGTTCATCTTGCGATATTCGGTATAAAAAAAAACGAAAAAAAACCAAGCAAACATCGTTGCCTTGGATTTGGGTTATGTGATGATGTTAAGGAATCAGATCAGGTATTAACGCACCCATACCTAATTGCATTAAACCATACTCATACGGAAGTCAATATAAATGAAATTATCTCAATTATAAAACAGATCATCAAAGTCCAAGATAAGCTATTTGGAAGAAATCAGGCCTAATCGTAAACGTTGTTGGAAAGTGCAGATTTTAGATAAGGATTTTTATACTATACACAGGAATGTATGCGACACTTAACTAAATAGCAAACGTATAATGGTTTCGCAACGGTACGGTACATAGTCGTGAGATGGGTTATCCATAGATAAGTCCGCAATAAGAGAAGGAATATGTATATACAATATTGGACAGACATTTGACATAGAGCAGACCATGAACGAGCAGCGTATCTGTAACAGACGAGCACTAGGCATGTAATAATTTTTTTGATCTATTTTAAGTTAATTTTTTCTTTGTGTGGCCTCTGGAGTGGGTGTGCTTAACAAAAACCTTACCTTCATGATAACAGAACTTTTTTTACAACTTTCTTCACTTGCGAAGACGAAAAATTTTTAATTTCTTCCTTTTTTAAGTTTGTGTTTCATTTTAATGCCGATTGGCTACAACATTTGTAGTAAATGTGAGACATGAGTTTCTTAGAAGCAATGCTTTTTTTTTCGAGCATCTTAACTGACGTCGTCGCTTTCACATCGCTGCGTGTTCTTGCAACGGCCGCATGGGCCGTTTGGTCTTAATCTCTTCATGGAAAATTTTTTCATTTTCATCACGCTGCATGGACACTTATCGATTATTAATCCGGTATCTAGATAACGAGAATGAATTAATTCATTAAGAGCTTATAAATAAGTCTTTATGTATTTTTTTTTTTTTTTTTTTTTTTGTATGCAAAAACAAGGGTTATAAACTTAATTTCATTTTGTTAGTTTATTACGCAGCAGCCGTGAGTAGCTTACCTCCCGTTGAAGATGTTTGCGGTCCGCCTGTTAGAACTGAGGAGGTTTGGGCTTCTACGGTGCGCTGCTCGGGCGATGGCTGTGAAAATCCCGGTGGGGCGGGTGTTCGAGACTCTTGCGTCTCTGCATTTGATAATTTAAAATGTCGGTCTTCCTCTTGATCCATTCTTTTATTTGTTGGTTTTAGTTCCGTAAAATTTTGAAAAATATAAGGAAACAGAGACACAATTATTTTAATGATTTTGCAAATTTATAAAGAAGACATAATTGAAGTTTAACCGACAACTACCTATTATGTGATGGATGATGAACGATCTTAAAGTTTTTCTAGTTTTTTAATGCACTTTTTTAAAATACCGGTACGTTGAATAAGATTCGTTTTACAAACAATTTATTCCAGGATAAACAATTCTTTACAAGCGAAAAAGAGTGTTTTTTGACAGTCTGCTGCGAAGCGAGAAAACTTAATGCAATAATAATATGTTCGAAGAGGTTATTCAACATGTATTTATTAATAAGTTAATTAAAAAAGGAAAAAAAAAAAAACAACTAAGAAAGTTAATTCGTCGGAGTCGAATCTCGCATACCCATCACTATTCGCATTCTACTTGCCAAGTTCTTTTATTTGATTACCCATATAGTTAGTATTATTAAGAAAAAGCTAATCGTGTTGTCTTATCAAATTCATTTTAAAATTAGCCCATTTTTAAGCAGATAATATATCTTCATTTAAGGAATGTTCAAACTAGTTTTAAACATTCAGTTTCGCTTGCAACCTTGAGTGGGCATGGTGTCATTTTTGCACGTAAGGAGTAGAGTGCTTTGTAAAGTAAATGTGGCAAATTTCAGTCTTCTAACTTTTATAATTTCCGAGAAACAAGCAAAAATCTAAAAAATGTTGTTAAAAAAAAAAAAAAGGAGATACGTTCAGTTTACGCTCCATTGCGCGCTTCCGCTCCAACTGATTTGGCCCATATTCAATGCCAACTTGCGCGAAGAAACTTGCAATATTTCAACTAAATTTGGAGTCGATATCTTCATTTTTGCAACCAACCAACCAACACCACACATCATAGAGACATACGGACGGACGGACAGACATGGCCAAATCAATTCAGAAATTCACGCTGATCAAAATTGTATATATATATATATATCTTGGAAGCTTCCTTTTGGGTGTTAAATACATTACGGAAAAAAAGCAAAGCGAGTATACCCTCATCTTACAGTGGTGGGTATAATAAAGTTCATTAAAAAAAAATTGTTGCTTCTGTTGCCTCTCTGTTTTTGGTCGAAAGTTTTCATTCAACTACTTGCCAATCACATGCAAATCAATGTATTTTTAAAATTAATCCCGTGGTTTACTAAGTCATTTTCTTAAATTCATATTTACATCAGTTACACTAACCGACCGTATAGCCCCCATCACATCTCCGGGGTGTTTACTACTTGTCAAATATATATATACATATATATATATATATATATATAATACTTAACTAAATGCTTAATAACCGCCACGAATATTATTATACCATTACCTTCCGTTCCATTGAAAAGACAAAAAAAAAAAAAAAAATGAAAATAAGTGAAACTACGCCAAACAAATTTAATTAAATTAATTTTAGAGTTTAGAATGACGTCACTATTCATTCAAATTCACCTTAAGCATAACATAATCGGTAATGGCACTTTTTTTTTGATTGTTCAATTGCGTCTGATATTAAAATATCTTGGAACTGATTTCAATCAACAGGAGAGTCCACAACTTTCAATGCGTTTGCCTTATTAGATGGCTTTCTTGAACTTTTGTGATATTAATTGTATCGATGTATATTACATTGCGTGCGAAAGGTGACAGCTCAGAGTGTATTAAAAGAAAAAAAAATTATAACATTTGTTAACATGTTCGCGGACGGTAAAAATTTCAGTGAGATGCAAAAATAGCATGCAATATATTTTAAAACTATTTGCGATATCCGAAATCTAATTAAAAATACTTCGTAGGTCTAGCCATAATATAATTGCATATATATATATATATATGTAACGAATGCGATAACATCCACGAATGTAAAATTACAATTTTTTAACAAATAATTATGAATATGTTAAAGTTATATATATAAAATAAAATATACATAATCGACTTTAAATCTTGAATGCTATAGAATTCATGACGTTTTGAATCAGAATGAAAATTAATGCTATAGCATTCACGTCCGCGAATTTATGAACTTACTCAAGAGCAATATCGTTTCGAACCCTAATTCTCAAAAAAAAAAAAAAAAATCGCTTATTATTTATATTATGTTATATATCGTAAATAGTTTGTTCGTTTCCGCTTCTTCAGTATTGAACTGAAGACGCGTCACTCGATTTAAATAAGCCGATGAAATTTTTCAACATATTTTGGAAAACCAGCAGTAAACTATGACCAAAAAATAACTTTAAAGCATATGCTTAAGTTTGGGTGTTTGAGTAGCGTATTTAATTGTGAAAAATGTTTAGGAACGAATTTCTATCCATTTTTGAAGAGACTGGTAGCAAGTGATGAGATATGATTTGCATACGAAAATAATGTGTTAACAAATTTTGACGGCGCATAACTTGGTTTGTGGTTGTAATGAGCCGCTTCGAGCTGGCCTCGTTATTGAATACATTCTCTCTACAATCAGCAACTAATGCAGTTAAAATGCCTAAGTAAAATGAAGCATGCAATGTTCATCAATAGCAAACACAAACATCGTCTTCCATCATGAAAATTCCAAGTTGCACAGATTTTAAGAAGAAATTAAGAGAGAGTTCAGATGAAGCATTTTGATTATGTTGGATAATTGATCAAAGACTAAACTTGTCTTCTCTATACTTTTCGTCTCTTTTATTGATCCGAAAATAAAATATACATTTCTTGCTAGGTGCAGTAAATGTTCGCTGTTGGGACTGAGCTTAGCTTTCATATATCTATCTCGTTGTTATATATTCTTCGTGTAGCTTATTTCTCCTCTCCTTTTTAGAAACTTCTTACATTATTATTATTTATTTAGGACGCTTGCGTATTTATACACTACAACACTGTTGGTACAAGTATATTCAGTTTGTGCGGACGCAAGCAACATTAACGAGGACTTTACTGTAGGCCTATCTACATATTATTATTATTATTATTATTATTATTAATTTCGCCAGAGAAATAAATTCTAAGACTAAACTCTTAAAAGCACTAGCATCTAAGGCTATCGGCTTTTATTAAAAACTCTACCGTACTTGCGATTCGAACCCACGACCATTGACTTGCTAGTCGAGATTCCTCGCCTTCGGCTACTCTGGCGGATTACATCTTATTATACCTTTCTATTTAGAACGAGAGTTTCTGAATAAATTTAAGAATGCCTCTCCGTCTATTCATCAGCGTTTTGTTTGTCTGCTGTCGTTCAATCGGTTTTTGGGTACAAAACATTAATTTCACATATATATATATATATATATATTTACTACGCTAAGTTTGGAATACAAAGGTCCTCTTTTTGCGCTTCTCCTCACAGTTTTATACAGTAAGACAAGTTATAATTTTTCATATATTTTATGGTTCAGATACATTATTATACATAATTGTATTAGATGATGTTATGTAGGGTACTTCATAATCTTTCTTATTCGGTTATAACGTTTTAACTTGTTTTTATATCATTTTTATTATGTTCTTCATTCAATTTAGAGTTAATGCATTTGTATCGCTTTACCTTGTAGGCTGTATCGTCTTATATAGTTCAACTTAATGAACCCATTTATCGGACTAAGCCGTATGAGTTGTTCCTGTTCTTCTATTGTTGATAGTATAAAAAGTGAACCAGAAAATAATTTGAATAATTAAATTCTTTTAACTTTTGTCCTGCATAACAATGTATGCAAATTGAAATATATTGCATGTAATAAAGTAAACGGCTTAATTATATTTGCATAAACAAGCCGCATCAGGTAAATTATTAATTTTATGACATTTTTTTTTTTTTTTTAAAGGTTTAGCGAAAACAACCTTTTAATATTGTCAAAAGAATCGGGCTATTAGAAGCGGTGTACTAGTAAAATTGTAAAATGGAAATATGAAATACACAACAAGAGAACATTTAATATGTTTTATAAGGACATTTATTTAATTTTTTGTTTTTTTTTGTTTTTTATTTTGTTTGGTTTTCCTCTTGTCTTTCATGTCAGCACAAGCGGATAAGAAATAAATAACGCACACATTTGCCTTTGATGAGCGATATTGCAAATGAATATATAACAATTGCGCAGGCTTTATACTCGGTCGGTACTGAAATGAAGTGATGTAGTGAGTAGTATCTGCATTCTCCGTGTAATGCATTGAAGTGCGCATCAAATAGATTAGAATATTTATATAGCGTCTCCTAAAAGAGGCACTCCATATTCACTTGAACGTTTTGAGGTCATGTTATAATATTTACTTCAAATTTATTTTCACGTCTCAACCTGTCAAACTGTACAACTTAATTATGGAGAAACGTATACAATGTTCAACAATGTTTCTAAATTGTCAATATATGAATCGTCGTGAATTTCACAAAAAGTCTTTCGAAAAGCTTTGAATTGGTAGTTTCCGCGAAAGCGAAGAAAACATAGGGTAATAATGAAATTTATGATATCGTTAGTCTCTGGGCCGTCCAGCTTTCCTTGAAATTGCGTCTGTAAAAAAATCACATTAATTTAAGAACTTAAGCCGGACATCAATCGTTCTTCAATAATATAGACATGACGAAGATTGTCTCGCAAAGTTCTCACTAACGAAGAAGCGCTCTTTACGCCTATTGGCTTTGTTAATAATAAGCAAAATTGCTTGGTTTAATCAGGAAAGCAAGAAAGATTTTCAAAAGTCAGTTGTTGTTGCGATACGCTATTTACACGTGTAGCCCTCATTTTTTCATCCAATTTGGCAATTAATGATGGCAACTACCCTTTTATGCTATCTATTATCTATCTATTTATCTATCTATGTTATTTAGTTGCAATTAAAAGCCACAATGGACAAAACCATAAAGTTATAAAAAGCAAGATATCTGTTAATCAAAAGGGCCACATAATGTCATTTTGTATTCAAAGAAAAAAAAAGAAGAAGTTATTCACGTCCGTCCGCTAAAAATTAATATAGAATCTTGATATTTGACATATATCTTGTTAATCTTAAATTAAATAAAAACTTTAACATTTTATGTCCAGTTTCTTCTTAATAATTCAAAAGTTCACGATTTTTATATAACACACTGATTTTTGCCGTCTAAGACACATAGAAAAATCGAGGTATTTCTTGTGCGAAGAAATACGCGGATCAGCCAACAAATTTGCGGTGATATAGCCACATCGATCCAGTTACCTAATGGCTATCGAAATAGAAGCAGAGAGCTTTGCCGGCTTTTTATCGTATTTACTTAAGACGATAAACTGATTAAATTCTATTAAATTTTTAAAGAAATGTAACCTT